CCAACTAACCATTAAATTTTTAAAATTTCATTATAGTACAAGGGTATTGATTTGATATTAAATGTTTAAAAAAAATAGTAAAATTGTCCTTCATTTAAATTAATATCAGAACTTGCCTACTTCACTCATTCATTTACTTACCAAATATTATTAATTACCTTACTTTATTTGTTTAATTCTCTGGAATGAAATCAATTAAAAATTTGGCAATGAACAAGTAAAATAAAGCAATTAACAATAGTCCATAAGTGAATGAATAATATACAATATAGGAATCAATAAGTTATCTTAAAATAATTTAAACATTTAAAATAAAGACAAGTTAAGTAGTGCAATTAACAACATTCTATTAGTAAATAAATAAATGAAGTAGGGTAATTAACAAATGAAGTAGAAAAGTTTTGATGTTAATTTAAAGGAGGGACAATTTTATCATTTTTTTTGAAATTTATTATCAAATCAATACTCTTGGACTGTGATGAAGTTTTAAAAATTTAGAGGATTTGAATTTAAATAAGTTAGTCAAGAGCTCTTTATTAAAATTCTCCCTAAAATATAAGTATGTCTATTTTCTAAAAATGTAGGAAAGGAATAATTTTAAAATTTGAGGTTTTTTTAAAATAAATATTTTTAAAATTTGAAGACTTATTTTGTTGCTTTGATAAGATCAAGTTTCTGGATAAATTTTAAGCTAGACTTTAATTTCGTGCTTATTACTCTTTTTTTCCCCGGCCATAGCTTACTTATTAGTCCTGAACAGTTATTCCTAAACAATGTTTCAAAAATTATGGGTAAAAAAAAAAAAGCAATGGTTTAAAAATTAGACACGTCTTTACTGATCAAAAATTAAAAAAAAAAAGGTATGCCATTAAAATTAAATTAGTAAAATAACTCTCAAGGTAACATTCACAGAATGGAGGCTCAATCGATTCGTGCGTTCAAATTCCCTACACAATTTTCCAACTCAATTTTCGTTCTTTTTATTTGGGCCGGAAGCCCAAGTGGTCTTTTTATTTGATTATCTTGGCCCAAAAAAAATTGTCAAGTTTATGGGTACATGCAAGTGACATCTTTTTATATATATATATATATATATAATCATTTGACTGACTGATTCAAATTTAACGGAAAATGACAATGAGGAACTTTGTAAATACATTATCAATTAAAGACCTTAAAATATTAAAATGCCAAAAAAGACTATGGTCTTTATACTATTAGAAAAATATAAATTAATAAGAGAATTTAACTAAAGATCGTCATTCCTCTCTAAAATACCAACTTAGTGAGAAAACTAGTGAGAAATGTTAATTTCATTGCTTGACTTATGATAAATTCCAATATTTTATTAAATTCATTGGTGTTTTTAATGTAATTAAAAGTCATTTATTTGAATTTTGTTAGCAAAAATATAATTAAGTGGATGAATGTGTGTGAAAATAGGCTTGAATATATGTTAGAAGTTAGTGGACCAATTCTATCATTTATTCTAGATTTTATGCATGTAGGGAGGCCCAATCTGGGGGCCTAAAGAAGAGAATTTTGGAGCCCAAGTCAAACAAATTAAATCTGAAAAGAAAATCTGAACAGATCATATTCGCTGTAGTAAAACGCGATTTTAATAAAACACACAGTTTTGACTCACAACAAATTTTTAGGGCCTGGACACCTCATTTTCGAGGATTCTTCACCTCCAACAACTACAAAACGTTCAGGAAGAGAGAAAAAGAGCTAAAGAATGGTTGGAAAAGCTTGAGTTTAGTGAAAAATCAAGGGTTTCACTCAAGATTGCTCCAATTAAGCTTTTTTTCTCCTACTTTTCTTTACTTTGCTATATATATTACAGATTTTGCTATCATGGAAGCCATGTGTGGTTGATTTTCTCTTAATTTGGTGTAGCTATGAATTGATTCTTAGATTAAAGCATGTTTGGATCACTTATTTGAACTTAATATTAGTTTTGTTTACTTAATATTGTGCTTATTTGTCTACTTAATGCTTGATCACCATTGAGTGTGAATTTGGGGGTTTAGATTTTTCCTTGGAAGAGGAAAATCTAAACTAGATCATTAGATTGAGTAATGTAGGATTAAAATTTATTCTAATTTGCCAATAGGATAGGAATATACCTATTGAACCCATATAATCATATTAGAGTGGATTTATGCATTTTTTCCTCTTGGGTAATTATGTTAGGAATAGCATATTAATTCAAGAGAGGGGTGTAATTAATCAAAAGATAATTATTCCTATTAATACTCTAGATTAACAAATTAATATTAAGTAAATTTAATCGGGTAATTACATTCTCTATGAATTGAAGAAGGGATCAGCCACCTTAGGTTGCCTTAATTGTTGTGGTTGTTGAAATTTTAATTTTAGTGCATTTTTCTAATTTTAATCCTTATTTTGCAAAAATCAAATTCATATCTTGCTTTTCTCGACCTTGATTTGCCACTTATTAATTATTAACCGTACACTTGCGGTAAAACACATTTGTGTATATCAACTTAAAATTAGTTAGGAAAATAGCAAAGAACTGTCAATTCCTTTCTAAAATAAGAGAATTAATGAAGAAAATAGTGAAGGACTATCAATCTCTCTTTAAAATAAGAAAATTAGCGAGGGATTCTATCTCTAACTAATTATTACAAAAAAAGTTAACTTTTGGCAATAACTTTTAATTATTTAGTTATTTTTATTTAAAAATAAAAATTAAATTTTAAAATTAACTAAACTATCCATAATAAAATTATTTAATATTTAATATTTTATTCATTTAATATGTGTGTGTGTTTTTATAATATATTATTTGATATATTTATGTAGTTAAATAATATATATTTAATTATCATATAATGACTGTGGGTACTTTTTAGTTTAACTGGTAGAAAAGAAGAGTATAAGGTTTGGAAAGTAGGAAGTCAAAGATTGAAGTCTTAGTTTTAGTATAAACATAATGAATATGTGACATAGTAAGGACCAAGTGACATGAAGCAAGGTGAAAAATGATAAATCATAAATTGTCGCACATGTGATAGGTGATAGGGCATGAAATGGTAGGTAACATGACAATTGTTGAGGCATGAGGTTATTAGTAACATGTTATAAGTTAATGCACACATAACGAATAATGTGACATCACTATTTTTAAATTAGCAACAAATTAGTGAGAGACTAATCCCTTGCTAAAGTTATCAAAGTTTGAATAGCGAGGGATGTGGTCCTTGCTAAAAATTAGTGATGAGTTAAATCCCTCACTAAATTCTTAGCTAATTAGTGAGAGAAATATGATATTTCACTAAATTTAACGAGCCCTTTTTTAGCTACAAATTTAATAAAGAACAAAATCTTTCGCTAAAATGTAATTTAGAGAGGGAAAATGACATTATCCCTCACTAAATTTCATTTTTTAATAGTGTTATTTATAATTGAAATATTTTTACTTTTAATTATTAAAATAATTAATAGAAGGTCATTTATGAATTTAATGATCAAAGAATTAAGGTCTATAAGTGTCATTTTTACATATTCAAAAAAACTAAATTTTCCTTTATTCAAATATTACATTTGAATTTACAAGTCAAACTCACCAATTTAAGTAAACTTTTGTTAATGATATAAAATTGGATAATAAATTTGTAAGAGGTTACCTTTATAAATAAATATTTATTAAAGTATATAATTAAATAATTAAAATACAAAATATAAATATATATAATTTTATTTAAATATATGTATTTCAAATATAAATTATTAAAATTAAATTCATCTACATCAATAGATTATCATACTCAACAAAGAAATTTTAAAATAGGGCAATTTATTTTTATATTTCTTATTTTTTATTAATATTATTTTTTCTTTTTGAATTTTTTTCTTTGAACAAGGTCTTACCATTTTTCTAAGCCAAGTTACTCACTCAATTTGGTAAAAAATTAACAAGTTTAGCAAGTTTAATCTAGTTACTTGCTAGTTTAGTTAAGTTTGCATGTAACTTGAGTTTATGAACAAGTTGTTATAATTTTATAAGTTACGTATATTAAAAACAAGAAACTTGAAGAGTCAACTTGTGAGTTTGAGAACAATACTCTTAGGATTGCAAGTGAATCTTCTCAATTTTTACATTAGTTATTCAAATTTAACATGTGAATATATAATCAATTTCTTTGATAGGTAAGAGATAATTTGATCTTTTTACTATCTTTTAGCAAATTTATCACACTTATTTATTAATAAATCCTTTATTTGGGACTTGGCTGTAATCCCAGAGCCTTGCCATTTGTGCTTCAGCCATGTAGAGAAAGCATAGTCTCAATCAAATCAAATAAATTTATCTCAACTTAACTTTTAACATATATTCTTTCCCGTCTCTATTATAAATCACTATCTCATCAAAAAATTAAGAAAAGACAGTTGCGTTATTAACTTTATTTGAAAAGTAGAATAAATTTTAATTTTATTCTTATTTAAATGAAAAATGTTCAAGTTTCCATTACATTATTCTCTCATAATTAATGAGTTTAAATAATGATAATATTGAAAAAATATAATTAATATGGATAGTTTGCCTCGTATTAATTAATGACCATTAGCTTAATACATGCTTTTCACCGCTATCTCCAAGATACTATATGTGATTCCCATACATGTGTGGAACAAACTTATAATACCAAAAAAAATATAAAAAGAATAATACAAAGCTGACAAAAGGAATTAATAAAAACAAGCAAAACGTGCAACCGATATGCAAGTCAAATTCATCAAATCTCATCACCATTTATAATCTTGATTTCTTACAAAAATTATAATGACTAATACATTGTTACCCAAGTTTGTCCTAATGAGGTGATATGTTCATGAGGGTATCATATTTCAGGATCATAATGAATCAAGAATATTTCAATAAGATGCAATATATATTGTTTGGAGAATCAATTATGTGGTTTACAAGTTTTCTCATGTGAACATGATTATTCACACCTTGAATCAAATAACTTTGAATCTACTCATGAAGAGCTTGGTTGGATAATCGTGGTGTGGGAATAGCAATCAGAGGTGTTCTCTTCTTTAGCACAATGCCAAACTTAACAGAGATATCCAACTTTTGACCTTGAGGCACTCTCCAATCAAATGAATGCATTAATGTTGCAACAAAATACAACAAATTCTTCTCAGCCAAGGCTATTCCTGCACATATTCTTCGTCCAGACCCAAATGGTAAATAACTGAAGTCATTACCTCTGAAATCCAACCGTGAATCTAAGAACCTAGAAGGATCAAAGTGTAAAGGATTGTCCCAAACAAAAGGGTCTCTATGTATTGCCCATACATTCACAAAAACACGAGAACCTTTGGGGATTGTATAGCCTCCTATAGTAGTAGTTTCACTTGGACAATGAGGAACTAACAGTGGAATAACTGGATACAACCTTAGAGTTTCTTTTAGAATGGCATGTAAGTATGGAAGCTTGTGAATATGAGACTCTTCTACTACGTTATTTTTTCCCACTACGCTTTCCAATTCTTGTTGGATCCTTTTCATCATGTCTGGATTGGACATAATTTCAGTCATTGCAAACTCAATTGTGTTTGCAGATGTGTGAGTCCCACCCACTACGATGTCCTGTTCACATGGAAAGTAATTAGTAATAAACTAGACCACCTCCCCATATGACCTTGTATTAATTTATAAATAAAATAAAACAATATATGCTTGTTTTTTGATTGCATTTTATTTTTAATTCCTAAAATTTTATTTTGTTATTCCTAATCCCTTTAGTTTGATTCGTCTCAAATGTTTGCCCCTATAATTTTTAAAATGCATAAAATAAAGACCATGAGCTGTCATTGACAGAGTTAATTTGTCATGGTAAACATAAGTTGATATGAAAAAAAAATTGACCGGGTTTGATTGAAAATAAAAAGTAAGGGGAAAAAGCTAATTTATTTTATATTTTACTTAATTAAACAAAATGGAGGAGACAAATGAAAGAGAATCTGGCTACAATAACTGCAAATAGAACAAAAAAATGTGAGAGAGGAATGTATGACTAAGTATACATCAGGAAATGAGTGTTAAAATAGTTAAGTACACCTCACTAATAAAATAAATTTCAATGGCGCCATCTCATGATTCTTATGTACATTTTTAAAACTATAAGGATTAACATTGCAAACGGATCAAATTAAAGGGATTAGAATAGTGAAAATTATAGGAATTTTAAAAAAACACAATTAAAAGATAAGGACCTATTGTTGTATTTCCCCAATTTATTATAAGACATTTTTTTATGTACTACACTAGATTTGAGATAAAAACTACATTATTTATCACTTGTAAATAAAAAATAAGGGCTGCCACTTTAGATTGTAAAATGATAATCCGAACTTAAAAAGGAAGGCCCTTTTAAGTCCTAAAGTAAAAGGGCAGGTCCTTTTAAATCATTTTATAATTTTTTAAATTTTAATATAAAAATTAAATACTACACTAATATGTTATATGAAATAACTTTGTGGAACCACTTTTGAGGCTCCACAAAAAGAAGGATGAAATTATATTGATGTTAATGACATTGAAAATTATTAAGATTTCGCTAATAATAATAGCAAAATTTGATAGTTATCAGTGTTGATTTTGTGATATTTTTTTATTATACTTAAATTTATTTTTATAGATTTAATGTTATGTGTAATAATTTTTTTAAAAATTTAAATACTTTTTTTAGATTTTTAAATTAAAAAATAAAAAATATGACCCTTAGGATCAGGTTGATCAAAATAGAGTTATGAGATATAATCAAGCTTTATGGGATTGCTCCGATCTTAATTGGCATCTCTATATCTAGTTATTCTACGTGTTTAGTCAATGTTTTAAAATGAAATGTCTTTTGTTGTCAAATTATTTAAAATGACATGTATATAAATAAGTAATTGATTTTTCCACTAACAATATTAAGACAATCATATCAAATATTTCTTATGATTAAACATATGAAAACATTGAAATAGATGAGGAAAAATACCATGAGGAGGGCCTTAATGTGAGCCATTGTGAGCGGTATTTTGGAACTTTCATCATCCTTCAATTTCAACAAGAAATCCAAAAAATCTATACTCTCTTCTCCGTTGCCACTCTGATCCTTGTTCATCTTCTTTTCTGTTGGTTTACCATCTTCTCGAAGATCTGATCGAATTGTTGAGCCAACAAACCCATCTGCTTCTCTACTCCCTGCAAATCAAACCTCGCCAACCCAAAAAAGAAGTCCGACAAGTTTGGCTTCCACTACAAAAAAATTGACTTTCAGCGGTGACATTTGTGGCGATAAAAAAGTCGTCACTGAAAGTTGAGAATCTATGATGACATTTGTCGCCGCCAAAAGTCAAAAAGTCACCGCTGAAAGTTTTTAGCGGCGACAAAAAGTCGCCACAATGTCGTCGCAAGAACTTTTATCGGGATTCAATCTGTGGCGATAAAAAAGTCATCGTTGAAAGTTGAGAATCTATGACGACATTTGTCACCGCCAAAAGTCAAAAAGTCACCATTGAAAGTTTTCAACGGCGATAAAAAGTCGCCACAATGTCGTTGCGAGAGCTTTGGTCGCTGATTCAATCTACGACGATAATAAAAGTCGTCATTGAAAGTTGAGAATCAGCGGCGATAATTGTCGCCGCAAAAACCACGCATCAGCGGCAACTATTTCTGTTTCCACTGAATGTTAAGTATTTGTCGCTGCTGAAGCTACCAAAAAGTTGTCGCTGAAAAGTAATGTTGGTTCACTTACATACATGACACCACGTCACCATCCATGTGGCACCCCACCTAATGCCATGTGGGCACCCCACCTAATGCTATGTGGCACCATGTCACTCTCCATGTGTCGCTCTCGCCATACGCCACGTGGTGCCATGTCACCCTCCACATAGGGCCCACCTTGCACCAAGCGACGCCATGTCATCCTCCATGTGTCGCCCCTCACCTCACATCACGTGGCCCCATGTCACTTCCATGTGTCGCTCTCACCACACGCCATATGTCATCATGTCATCAATTTATATTTTCATTTTGAAAGTTGTCTTTCTTCCTTTTGTGTCCAACCATTTTGCCATTGAGCTGGAATGAACCTGTAGTCTATTATTGCATAATTAAATATATATATATATATATATGTATACACACATATTATTAAACTATACAAACACACATATATATTAAATATTAAATATTATAAAATATCATTACTATCCTTAAATACTTTAATTTAATTCTTTCAATTTATAAAATTATAAATTATATTATTTATTTTGTTTTAAAGTAAACTATAAATATAATTGATACAATATAATTTGTATTATTTATTTTATTTTTTTTACTTCTTGAGGTTGTTATATTATTTATTTTAATATTTATATTTATAATTATAATATAAAAAATATCTAAGAATAAATAGTAAAAATACTGATAAATATACATTAGTAAAAAAATTATAAAAATGCAGACAATCAACGACGACACTAAAAAGTCACTGCTGAAAGTTGACTTTCAGCGACGACTTGTATGTCGTCGTTGAAACTTACAACATAATTTTTTTAAAAAAAATTAAAAAATGCTAACAATCAGCGGCGATACTAAAAAGTTGCCACTGAAAGTAAACTTTCAGCGGCGACTTGTATGTCGTGGCTGAAACTTGCAATATAATTTTTTTAAAAGAAATTAAAAAATGCTGACAATCAGTGGCGACACTAAAAAGTCATCGCTGAAAGTAACATAATTTTTTTAAAAGAAATTAAAAAATGCTGATAATCAACAACAACACTAAAAAGTCGTCGCTAAAAGTCGACTTTCAGCGGTGACTTGTATGTCGCCGCTGAAACTTGCAACATAAGTTTTTTTAAAAAAATAAAAAATGCTGACAATCAGCGACAACACTAAAAAGTCGCCGTTGAAACTTGCAACATAATTTTTTTAAAACAAATAAAAAAATGCTGACAATCAATGGCAACATTAAAAAGTCACCGTTGAAACTTGTAACATTATAACATATTTTAAAAAATGTTAACAATTAGCAGCGATATCGAATGTCGCCGTTGAAAGTTTGACAATCAACGGCGACTATATCTTGTCACACTTTCAGCGACATCTTTTTAGTATCATCGTTGAAAATCTTTTTTTTTTTTTTATAGTGTTCCCCAATAGCTCCGTCACACGCGCCACCACTTCCCTGAACTCTGTTCCAACAGTAACCCTCTCATTGCCTTCCACCGTCCCGCCCCATACCATGCCGGTGACCACGTTGAACGCCGTCATAAACATCTGCTCCCCAACATCCACCGGAGACCCGAACCGACTGTACAGATAGCCCACGGTTTTCCGAACCTCCTTGCGACGGAGCACGTAGACGGAATCCAAGTTAGTGTTGCTGAGCATCCACTGCACAAGCACTTTCCTCAACATTCGCCACTCAGATCCATGGGGAGTCCAAACTATGTCTCTTCCACCGTAGGTCGCCACCCTGCCGGCCACCGGAACGTCGCCGTTGGCGAAAATGACGTCATGGTCTTTGAGAACTTGACGAGCCATTGAAGGGGAGGACACGACGACGCCGTATTTGGAACCAAGTTGGAGCGAGAAGATGGGACCGTAGGTTTGAGACAAAGAGGTGAAGTATTTGTGAAGCTCAGGATCGAGAGATAGAAGATTGCCGATCAAGGGAAGGCCTGGTGGACCTGGCGGTGTGTCGGAGCCGTCGCGCTTGTTGAAGCAAAGCCATGCATACCAAGTGACTGCAAAAATGCCCCAGAAAGCAAGAAACACAAACGAGAAAAAATCCAAATGGGTTATGGCATCCATCAGGTTTTGAATCAAGGTTTTGAGAGATATCATTCTGAACACTGAGATGTCTCAACTCTGAAGCAAAGAGATAGTCAAAAAGACAATAAGAAGCAGGGCTATCAATAATTTCATCCCAAAAAAAAAATGAAAAAGAAAATGAAAAAGAAAGGCTATCAAATAATATCCTAGTCTAGTTTGTTTTAATGGTTGCGAGAGATTGCGTGCGCGACGTGCATTGCCTACTTGCGATGTAATTAAAATTCCTTTATTTAATTTAAACAACAAATATATAAAGGTGACGAAAACCCAAAAATACATTATTTGATTTAATCAGAATAAATCGGGAAGTGCGTGTAGTGTGTAAATACATGAGTAAAGGTGTTTTTGCCAAGAAAAAGAAAAAGAAAAAGAGAGCAAAGCTGTCCTCGCAATTTCTTCAACTTGCGGGCCCAGTGAACGTTATAAATATCATCATTGATCGCTAGGGGACTATATGGGTTGGTCTTTTGGGGGTCCGAAAAAATATGAATTGAATATTTATTTTTATATGAATTAAAAAAATTATTTTTTTTGTTTAAAAAGTAAGATATTTTTGATCAAATTTTACTTCAATAAAATAGTTATCTACTTTTTAATTAATCCTATTTTTTCGTATTTATCTTTATTAAATACTCTATAATAAATATAAAATCATTATTAATAGGGGTATTTTTAGAAAAAAGGCAATGATTATACTTTGAAAGACTAAATATGCCTTACATTTTTGAACATCTAACTCCTTAAAATTTTTTTTATATTTTTGAACGGAGGGAGTAACTCAACTCTATTTTTATAGATTGGTGGGTTAAATAAATTAATTTATCTATTTATTTATTATTAAATTTTTTAAAAAAATTACATAGAATTGAGAAATTCTAAATCATGCAATTAAAAAAATTCATATCATAAATATATGAAATTGATCAATTCATCATAATTCATTTTAAAATCCACTTGTCTTGTAGGTTTTTTTGACATATAACCTAAGGGGGCATACGTTGAAAATTTCCTTTTCCTTTTCCTTTTCATTTTTGAATTTTTTTCTGGTTTCTTTTTTTTAATTATTTCTGTTCAACCATGTGTTTTGGTGATCACAAAATCAAGAGAGATATATTTGTTATCTGTGTAGACTTAAAGAACTATTGAAGTGGTAAAACCTCCAAGAGTATGAAGATTAAGAAAAGACTTAGCATAAATAGGTTTTTAATTTTTTTAATTCAATATGAAAACTATAAAAGTTTAATCACATAGCTTTAAATGGTAATAATGCATCCATTTAGAACCAATCTTAGACTCATAATTTTTTTAAACTTAAGTGTCAAATCTTTAAAAGGCACCTAAACCTGTTGTGCCATCCACGCTAGATTTGGGAAGTTTCATGTCTATTTTGACTACCCTAAGTGCATATAAGTACTTAAGGATCATATTCAATCTTGAAGTAGAACAAATCTCGCTTGACTTAGACCATAGAGGTTAGACACTACACTATGAGCCATTCCACACCTGAATTAGAGTGATTCACGTGTACTTTGGCATCTAAGTGTGGGAAGTGTTTTGGAAATACTTCTGTGTTTTGATTCAAGCGTGAGTGTAGTTTGTGCTCACACTTGGATTGTCCTAGAGTATTAGCTCGAGTTTGTATAAGTGGCATTTCACGTCTAGATTAGGGTGATCCATGCTTGAAAAGGAACTTGCCCATTTTGGGAAGAAGTCTGATCCTAGAGAAGCATTGGTGATGTTCCATGTTCCACGCCTGAATCAAAATAATCCACGCTTGAAATGAAACTTGCCTATTTTTGGAAGAAGTTTGACCCTAGAGAATCTTATAACCAAACAAGCCAAATCAAGCTTGTTTTTTAGTGTTTCAATCGTGATTTGTCAACAGAAAGCTAGTTGCTTTTACCATTCATTCCACGCTTGAAAACTATAGATAAACATATAATTCTTATGTGAAATAACTTGTATTATTTTAATGTTGTTTTAGAATATAAGAGTAAATTATCATATTTTAAATAGATGTAGTAATGACAAATGTTTTGAAAGTAAATTTAAATAAACAAACAATTAGATATTTATTATGTAGTCTCATATAATTGAATTAAGGTATGTGATTTTTTATACATTATGTATTCTACATATTTTTTAATTTAATTGGATAAAAATTATTAAGTATATGAGATTAAATACATAAGTCATTTCCATTTTAATATATTGTTTTAAAAGATAATCATATCATAATATACTATTTTGAATGTCTATTAGTCAGGCCCAGTTATTCATGTATCTTAACAAATTCCGTATTAGTTATATGTGGAAATCAATTTGTTCTATTTTATTTCATTTTTATTAATGTTAATAATGTTATTTTGGAATATCAAAATCAAAATAATAAATATTTGATCATCAGATGACTATTCAAATCTTTATATTAGATATAAAAGAAAAAAATTTAATTGTAAAAATAAAATTGGTGAAAAAGCATTATTCAAACATATTAAGAAAATTAGCTAAATTTAGTTATTATGCTCCTTTAACAAGGTTTAGTATTAACTAACAAAGGTTAATCTAGCTGATAGGGAGTTGATCTATAATCTACAAGATTGTGAAATTAAATCTTGTTGTATATGCGAGGACCTTATTGGTGGGCAATATGTAAGTATCTCTATAAATGCTCTTTGACTCTGGAAGCATATCCTACTTTGGTGTACCACCAGGATCGAACTCATCTGAATTTTTTTGTTCTATAAAAAAGTTTAATATTAAATTAGTGTAATTTTTTCTCTCTACATAAGAAGGCCTTAAGGGTAAGACTATGTATATAAGTTTTTTCCCCCTTATAGAAAGGATAAGACTCATAGTATCAAAAAAGAGAAGATGATAAGACTTAGGTACTTAGTCATATATAAGGATTAAGGGATAATTTACTCTTAAACTATTAGTCCAAGAGTGCATGGGATCTTAAGTTTATTTTTGGATCAATGTTCCCCTTTAACCTTTGAAAGTGATGCAATATTACCTTTAGTATTAACAAAAATTAGCTTTAACCATTAGTTGATTAAAAACTTATTGAAAAGAAACTCACAACTTATAAAAAAGAAGAAAAAAAATTACATAAAAGGATCCAAAATTATAGACAATGACAAAAACATTGCAGAAAAAGGCTAAAAACATTTACTTGGTAAAATTTTTGAAGTTCTTTTTTATAATTTACCTATCATGGATAAGGTTAACCATTTGCTAACAATGGGGAAAAATTGTACCATTTTTTTTAGTAATGACCAAAAAAGTTAAAGAGAAATATTATACCAAAAATGAGTTTATGAATGCCTGTAGACCTATAGTTTAGGAGAAAACTTGTCATTTAACCTTATACATAATATACTTTTATCAAATCAAATTAAGATATGTGAAGTTTAATGTAAGGTTAAGGTGCATTTTTACCTTTGAACTTTTTCTTGTGGAGCAATTTTACTCTTATATTCATAAGTGAGGCAATTTTTCTTTTGAACCATTTTTTCGAGTAGCAAAGAAATCTTTCTATAAGATGTCTAGCACTCCTCAAAAAAAAAAATTCAGGGATAAAATTACCCCATTTATGAGTATAGGGGTAAAATTTCTCCTTGAAAAAAAATTTAGGGATAAAAATATATTTTAACCCTTTAATATATTAATAATAGGGTTAAAGATCATTTTTGTCCCTAAACTATATGCGAAAGTTCAACAAAAATCCTAAACTTGACTTGAGGTTAATTTTATCCCTTACAAATATATTGCTACTGTGCCTTGGTGTTAACTCTCCCAATTTTTTCGTTATGAGGATCCCATATTTAAGTTTTTTAATATTTTTTGTGGGCATCATCATTTTTTTATAATATAAAAAAAAAATACCCCTATCCCTCTCTCCTCTCTCTCCTTCATTCCGTCTCTCCCCCCCCCCCCCGGCTTCTCCTTCCCTTCTTTCTCTCCCTCCTCCCTACTTTCGCTCTCCATCTTCCATCTCCCCCTTTCCTCACATACTCATCGTCCTCTCTCCTCACACACTTATTGGCCGTGCCGTGGACATTTGCGATTATTAGTTTAACATATTATCAGTCAACAGCTCCTAAGACACCATGGACAATAACTTTGTCAAGTGCTACGCTTGTACTTAGGTCGGCGTTCCTATCTTCCACTCCAACAACTACGACGATTATAAGCAGCTTCTATGAGATGGCTTGAAGTTGTGGAACAGGGCTATCGATCCGTTGTTCTTCATCGACTTGGGTCCTGTTCTCCCTTGTTTTTTATGTTAGAAACAGAGATGGTGATTCCCACGAACAAAAAATCTGATGACTACTCCGATGTTCTCCTAGGCATGCTCTCGAGGACTCACTTGCATGCATGCATGCATGTTCAAGAGGAGAAGGTGCATGTGTGTGAGGGAGACAGAGTGGGGGGAGAGAGGGGTTAGAGAAGGAGACACTGGGGGGACAGAGGGAATGAGAGAGAGAGAGAGAGAGAGATTATGCCCTGCATATCATTATGTTGCTGTTCATAATCTGCACCAGCAAGCTGATGGGTTGATGAGCGCTTAAAGCTCAAACCAAGAGTTGATGACAAGTAAAATATGAAGAAAGATGACGATCAGGTGTGGTTGGAGTTCATGAGCGCTCAAAGCTCTCGAACCAAGAGTTGATGAGGAGTAAAGAGAGATAGTTTTACTGCTTGTGCTTGAAGACCAAGGCATGAAAGCCAAGCTGTGCGCCATCAGGAAAATAAGGAAATTTTTTAATCTATGGATTTCCTAATGATGTCGCAACAAGAGTGTTTGGCACTATTTGAAAATTCAGCTGCGTTAGATAGTAATTTTATTTTGGTTCGACCCTAACAAAAGATGGCAGATTGTTTTCAAATAATCTCCCGCAAAGTTGCAAAGTTGTCAATGCGTGCGAAGGACCTAGCCACTTCTGTGTTAAAAATAAACCTATGCAATGCATTGTTTGGATCAATGAGGTGTGAGAGGAGAGAGAGAGAGAGTAGAGGACATTTATGAAAAAATATATTAAAAAAATTAATGTGAGACCTACAAGTAATATTTTATAATAAAAAATATTTTAAAAAATTATATGTGGGCCCACATAATGAAACTGCTAGCTACCTTAATGTTGGGGGTGATAAAAGATTAAATATTTTAAGTTGACGGGTAGAAATAATTGGGAAAATGACAATAAAGTCCTAAAATATTAATTTTATACCAGTTAAGTCCCAACAAATTCTAAAAGGCCAATCAAGTCCCAAGGTCCTTAAGTGGTATTTTGATGTCACAAGAAAAGACCGAAACACCCTTCTTCAAGTAAAAGCTCATTTTCTTCTCTGCCCGAACGAGTCTTTGTGCGACGCGAAGCTCTATTCTCTAGGTCTACATTCTTTGATCCATACGGTGAACGAGGGCTTGGTTGGGCCAGGGGAGAGTGATTTTTCTGGGGGCAGCACACGTAGCCGGCAACTGAGAGTTGAACACTTGAAGGAGAAGAGGAAAACGTTGGCGGCAGTGACAGAGGTGAGGGAAAATCGGTGGCGAGGGCCAACATTTTGGCGATAACGGCAACGGAGAGCCAGGGGCGAGGTCTTTTCTGTTAAGGTTTGGATTTATATGCCTAAATTGTATTTTTTTGCCTTTATTGTTTGTTAGGATTTGAAGACCTAGATCCCTGAGCTGGGCGTTTATTTTTTTCTGGTGGAAGTAGCTGAATCCTTTCCTCTTTCCTGCTCTGTTTCACGCTATTAGAGGTGTGTGTATATGCATGTTCAGTTTTTTTTTCCTTCCTTTTCAGTTGTTGAAGTCCTGCTTGTGTATGTGTATTGGCTGATTGGCTAAAAGTTTGGTCTGCTTTCTTCTCGTGTATGTAAAAGATTGAAGCTCTCCTCTTCCCTTTCATCGTAAACTACTTGCTGATCCACAATCGTGTTATCTTAATCTCGCATAAGATATTAAACACTGTTTGATGAATTAAATTGCAAGAGCTTGGCAAACAAATGGTCAATGACAATGAAAACACGGACTATACCTTTAACTATTATCAAGAAGAAGACAATGTTGCCTACGACATTTATTTAAGATAAACTTTTCCAATTTGACATAAATTTAGAATCAATGGCTCTGACTTGAATATTTCCATTGACATGTTTTACATGCCCAAGAAATACTAAAATATTGAAGTCATGAGAAGCAGGTAAACCTAAAATTTAGGGTCACAATTTTGTGCCAATGCACTTGCAAGTAAACGAGTCTGTTCCAGTGCAGCTAAGTTTAGAATATTTGGACCTCTCATTTGATCTGCAGATGACAATAGAGACTGCAGAGTGAATGGTAAAAGCTTACTAGTGTTAATCTTTGATGTTATTCTATCATGATAGTGAACTAAATTTGGTTAATAAAAGTAAAAGCTTGAGAGTTGTTGGAATTGCTTAGTTGTTCATCTCACAAATTTGTCAATGATAAATGCTCTCAAGGTATTTGTAGGAAGGCTTGAAAGAAGTTGATGAAAATGAGATTGTTTAATTTTCATAGTAGAACCTTGAGGAGTTATCTATGCTACCTAAGAAAGTTTATGTTTGTACATAAATTGTAAAGTTGATCTACCTATTAAAATTGTGCAACATCTAAAGGGAAATTGTTAGACAAAATGATAATTAAGATTTTTTTTTAATTTTGTAAGAAGAGTTGTGTTAATGATGGTGGTTAAATGCTTACTAGTGTTGTTGATTATTTGGTAGAAGTTGTAGAAGGGTTATTGAAGATTAAGGGATTAATGATGTTAGAAATCGAATGCCTATGGGGATGATCAAGAAAAGAAACTTCCGTTCTACTGATTTGACCATAAAGAAATTTACCTGATCTGAGTAGACTTTGGGTAGTATGAATCCTCAATGATATTTGAAGGAATTGGGCATAATGGGCTGAATGACGTGATTATAGTTGTTCTCTTTAGATATTACATTTGTGTGGAGCAATGATTTTCATTTCAGTGCACAATTTACTGATGCTTGGCTGTGCAAATCTATTGTGCTTCTTCTTTGCAAATAATGTTTCAATCAATGGAAATGCTGACAATATTTAAGTTCTCTTCACCAATGCATGCAAATATTTTAATGTTCAATGGGTGGAAATAAATTTTCAATCTGCTTCACTTCTTCTGGGCAATTCCGTACAGATGTATCTGTATTAATCTGTTTTGTTTTTTCATGAGTAGTTCAGTGAATTTATCTTCTTTCTTCCTGGACCCAGCCTCTCCCCCCACCAACATAAAAAAAACCCACTCCCTGTAACTTAAGGTGGGTTTTTTATGCCTGTTTCTTGTGAGTGGTTATCCTACTGAAGATCCTTTTTTGGATTAGGAATTTAACGTAAAAAGAAATAGTTTTGGGAATTTATTACAAAAAGAGACATTTTTTTAGCTGTCAAAGAAAAGAAGGTAATTTTCTAGGTTTTGTTAGTGCAATCTTTATTGCCCAAAACTTGTTTGTGTTTTTCTCAATTTCTCTTTGCAAAAGTTCAGCTTCTCTCTTCTTGTGGACATGCATGTTTGTTGTGCCCTTTGACCATGAGCAAAGTTGTTAGGCTTTATTAATGAAATTCTGCTTGTTTCTGCTTACTTTCTTTCAATTTATTGGTTTAATTTTAACCAGTGTTTTTTTTTGGGACTTGCATCGGTGATAATTAGGTGGGAAGCTTGTTTGTTAGGGCACAAAGAACTAAGAAACTATGGACAACAAGAAAGCTACAACAAAAAAGAAGTTTGGATACGACAACTTTAAGAAAGAGTTTCTTAAAAAAAATGAAGGAAGATTCAGTGGTCTTATAGAAGCTAATGACTCAATGAGAGAAAGTTGGCGAAAATTATCAAATGCTGAACAAGAAAGATATAGAAACATGGCTTCGTTAGATGGACGAGGCAAGGAATCAGCATCTTGTTCCACGGCAATGGTATTACTAACTTGTATTTATTTTAAATTAATGAGGTTTTTCAGTATGGTTGTTATGCATTGTATGGTGTTATATTATTCTTCTTGATTTGTAGGTTTCATTTAATACGCGTTGCTCTCCTGGCCAGTTCAAGGAAGTTGTGGAATACATATCCAAACATAAAAGGTTATGTACTAAGGTCAAGAAAATGGGGTTCCAATCTCTCTTGGATTTTAAATTTAATAAACTACCCAGAGAGTTATGTGAACAAGTAATTGCTGCTTTTGACACACCAACCTCAACACTTGGAATTGGAGGGAAGAAATTAAGTGTTGATGGAAAGGATGTGCACACTATCTTAGGTGTGCCTTATGGTGGGAAAGTTATTTTTTTAGATGATGACAGCAAAGCATGTCAAGCATTAAAGAAGAATTATCTTGGCAAACCCTTCACTGAGTTGAAGAGTCTGGTAATATCCGGCAAGGCTGAAAAAAATTTTGAAACGGTTTTTTTGTTATTCACTTTAGGAACATTTCTTTGTCCCACAACAAGTACAACTGTTTGTATGAGGAGTATTAAAAGTTTGAGTGGGAAGAAAAATGTTCAAGAATATGATTGGTCATCTTTTGTGTTGTCGGAGCTTATTAGAGAAATTTCGACTTATAAGACAGCATTAAGGAGTGGACGAAAGAAGAAGAATGTAGGAGGATGCTTATTTTTCTTACTGGTATAGTCTATTTGAAATCCTTCTATATTTTGTTCCAGTTTATTTGTTATTGATTAGATTATAATTATCCTTGTGGTGCAGATATTTTACATGCACCACTTTCCATTAGGCCCAACACCGTCAATAGATAGTGGAACGCCTGTGATGCATTTGTGGAACCAACACATGGTGCAGAAACGGGTTAAGCTGGAAAAAGAAAGCATCCATGGTATTCTTTACGGTGGTCAGGCTAATGAAGTGTCTGAAGTTTTACCTCCACTTGCAACGATAACTCACCCGGTATATAAATGTTTATACTTTATTGTCTATGTTTTGGTTTTCACTTACTTAATAAGCTTGGTGTTGAAACTTGGTTAGGATGTGAGGGAGATATATGAAGACTTTTTGCAATATGATAATACATTTGCAAGTAAAGTGCTGAAGTTGCAACAAAGTCTTAACCAGCTTCAAATATCTGATAGTAAAGCTATCATGCGGGTTGGCGAACCAAGCGAAGAAGAAGTAGAGGAAGAGGACTATGGAGATAAAAATGAAGCTGAAGATAATGAAGATGGAGACAAGGGCGAAGACGAAGCTAAAGATGCACATGAAGCTGGGGATGAAGATGGGGATGAGGATGAGGATGACGATGGACATGAAACTGCAGCTAGAGCTGGATCTAAAGAAGATGAAGATGAAGGCTCCAATAGTAAGGAAGAAAGTGATGAAAGACAAGATGGTAAGAAGAGGAGGAGAATAGATGAAAGGCTAATGGTTTGAAGGTCTGAGAGGAAAAGGGTTGAGGTAAATTGGTCACCTTTTTTGAAAGAACCAATACAAGGGAGAATTACAAAAGAACAACAAATATATGAATATTGCACTAGGTAGACCAATCAAGTAGAGGGTGAAGAGTAAGTAATGTGATATTACTTTTCGATAATCATGGTGCATTATGATTGATATAATAACACATTTTTTTGGTAGGTGTGTCGTTGAGATGTACGATTACTACTTAACTAGGGCCGAATGCCAAAGTCTTGGTCCTAAAAAATGGATAAGTACAGCGGTATGTCTAATAGTTTTAATTCATTAGTTGCTTAATTGGATAGCACATTGAGTGTTGGATGTGATCCTTGTAGGTCATGAGCATGGTCGCAAAAGTGATGGTTGGTGAGCAACTTCATGAAGGGAAGGTATGGAGGTACATATTTGATTCAGAATTTATGGCCACCCTAAGGGATAAAAAGTTAAGATGGTCTGTCTTTGAGGATGCAAAGATGCTCATGCCCGATCAACTTGGATATAACCTTGGAAATTGTGATTACCTCTTCTTGCCCATGCTTGTGTTCAATCACTGGTTTTGTTATTGTGCTGATTTGAAAAATGACAAATTTTTCATCCTTGATTCATTGGCTGGGAAGTTATTTAAAGAGAAGAAGATGATGGCCGGATTTATGGTATGCTTTATTAGTACTTTTGCATAACTACTTTAGGTGACTTAAATTTTTACATGGGAATGGTTATCTAACTCTGGAACTATTTGTAGAGAACTAGCATAATTGAGTTGTTACAAGCATGTGACCCGGAGAAATATGGAGAGGATTTTCAGATGGAGATGATATTTGAAGAACTTCCCAAACAAAGTAATGTGTAAGTAACTATCTATGAAAACAAGTACCTTTTAATGTATTCATTTCTAGTAGACAATTTGCCTTACCTTAATTGCTCATATTTGTAGAGATGATTGTAGGGTATATGTCATAAAGTACTGTACAAAATGGGATGGTAGAAGAAGAAAAGGAGGACTGACCATGGAGGACTTTTCAAACGTATGTATATGTGATCCATAATCTTTCTAATTTTTTTTTTCCAATTATCAATGTGAAACTTAAACTTTCTTTATGTTTTTTTAGGAACAACTGAGACAGTTTAGGGTGGATGTGGTGTGGTGGCTGGTAAATCACACGAGAAATGAAGTAAGAAACGAAGTATTTGCCTCTGTCTCAGCAGCTAATCGACCAAAGAGGGCAGGAAAGGAGTGTAGATTAATTTTTAGGCTGTGACATGTTTTCACCATTCTGATTTGTAGAAATTGCCTCTTCTAATTTTTTCCCTCACGTGTTTTAGCTGAAGGTTGACTATGTAATTTGTACAAGTGAGGATATGCTCAATTGAATTTGAAGCTGTATCCAAATTTTAGGGCTTATAAGAATATTTTTACCAATATATTGCAGGGCGTATAAGAATAGAATTTTTGGCTGCAAACTTAGGCTGGCCTTTGTGGGATATGCTTGATTAATTTTGTATCCAAAACATGTTATTTGATCAAAATTTGGTCACATACATGCATTTTACCTAACTGAATTATGATTTTGTGTAAACAAGATTGCCAACACCTCCATTTGGATTTTATATCATAGGTACTAATTAATACTTATTATTTTCAACAAATTAAAATAACATGTTTTTCCTGCCAATTGATACAGCCGGGCTGCTATTTATATTACTTTAATCATATGGTGATCCAATTCAATGTAACAAATGAATCATGCAATTTTCTAAATAAAACACTTGGTGTGACTATCAAGCAAGCTGAACAAGCAACCAAATCAATTATATATAACCAATGTCGCAACTGTGTGTCAAAATTTTGGGTGGGGTAAGTAATGAATTCTCAACAAAGTAATTATTTTAGGACAAAGCTCCAGTAATTTGCAAGTGAGAAACCAAATTTTGCAATTTCCTTCGAAAAAATTTGCAACTGGTACTCCAAATTTTGAATCGAAGAACTATTAAATTCGTTGAAGAGTTAAATCCTTTAGGACAAAGCTCCAGTAATTTGCAAGTGAGAAACCAACTTTTGCAATTTCCTTAGAAACAATTTGCAACTGGTACTCTAAGTTTTGGATCGAAGAACTATTAAATTCGTTGAAGAGTTAAATCCTTTAGGACAAAGCTCCAGTAATTTGCAAGTGAGAAACCAAATTTTGCAATGCCCTTAGAAAAATTTGCAACTGGTACTCCAAATTTTGGATCGAAGAACTATTAAATTCGTTGAAGAGTTAACTCCTTTAGGACAAAGCTCCAGTAATTTGCAAGTGAGAAACCAAAGTTTGCAATGTCCTTAGAAACAATTTGCAACTGGTACTCCAAATTTTGGATCGAAGAACTATTAAATTCGTTGAAGAGTTAACTCCTTTAGGACAAAGCTCCAGTAATTTGCAAGTGAGAAACCAAAGTTTGCAATGTCCTTAGAAACAATTTGCAACTCGTACTCCAAATTTTGGATCGAAGAACTATTAAATTCGTTGAAGAGTTAAATCCTTTATGACAAAGCTTCAGTAATTTGCAAGTGAGAAACCAAATTTTGCAATGCCCTTAGAAACAATTTGCAACTGGTACTCTACATTTTAGAATGAAGAACTATTAAATTCGTTGGAGAGTTAAATCCTTTAGGACAAAGCTCCAGTAATTTGCTAATGAGAATCCAAATTTTGCAATGTACTTAGAAATAATTTGCAACTACTACTCAAAATTTTGGATCGAAGAACTATTGAATTCGTGGAAGTATTTTGCAATTTAGACGCCAAATTTTGCAAATTCCTTACGAAAAATTGGCAACTCGTACATGAAATCTTGGATCGTCGAACTAGAAGATATGAACTGTTCATGTAAGAAACATGTATTAATTCATCTAATGCATCTGCACATATCAGCTGTCCACATACATCAAGACATGAACTTGGATTTACAAATGAAGGGTTGCTATGTACCAAAAAAACCCCTAATACTACTAATATATATCTACATAAACCTATACATGTCAACCAAATCCAAGTTGATCTAGTCTCATGTTATAGAAACATCAACTTAGATTTACAAAACAAGGGCTGCTATATGCCAAAAAAAACCCCTAAAACAACCATTATGTTTATGTCACCCAAATCCAAGTTCATGTGTTAACCCATTTACAATAACATCAACTTGGATTTGAATTTCTACACCTCTTCCTTGTATGACCTGCTTCATGGCAGCGAGAACAATGATAAACCTTCTTTTATTGATGTTGAGACTCGATCCTCACATGACGAGGTCTGCCAGCTGGTCGAGATGTTCTAGGAGGCAGCAAAAAGGTTTGGTTCATGAGCTGAGACACTGTCAACGCATTTGGCTTTGGCATGTCATGGGTCTCAACAGGATGCATAATGCCACTGTATATTTTCTCTTGTGAGCTACGAAGATAACATTCCTTGACATAGCTATACACATTACCATGCACTTTTTTAATGGCTGCACAAGCATGTGGGCAAGGAATGCCAGACATTTGCCAAACTTTGCATGTGCATTCCCTTAGTATCAGATTCACACATACATCTCCACACGGTGTCCGAACCAATGCAATATGTGAGCCATGCAGCTGAACTATCATAACTTCTGCCCTCAAAATATTTTCCTTCAACTTTGCTTCAACATTGGGACCAACTATGCTTTTCCACTTACTCATGGCTGCCTTACTTGCAAAAAATTTCTTGCTCAACTTGTCTCTGTGCTCATTTATAAGAACACATATATTATGCCTTCTCTCTTCAAGAATCCATGCATTAAATGATTCGGCCAAGTTGGTTGTTATCTTATCCCATCTTCGAAATGGGAACAACGATAGTGCCCACCGATCAACATCGCCTTGATTTTCTACCCATATTGCTAATTGTGGAGAGAACATCCTCAAATTTTCCATGGCTATATGAAATTCGTGCTCATGCCTTGCATAAGCTATGTAATCAAGCAACTTTAGTGCCTCTTCTTTATTGTTCCTTCCCATTCCCCTATAAACTTTATTAAACTCAGAGCTAAAATTCTCCTTAACATGTCGATAGCAAAATGCATGTCTATCACCATCAAATATGGCTCTAACAGCACCAATAATAGCATTATTTCTATCAAAACAATAGTTACCTGTAGCAAACCAAGGATATCTTTAATATTTTGAAGAAACCAAGTCCAATCATCATGAGTTTCACTCCCAACTATTGCAAAAGCTAATGGAAACAACTCATTATCGACATCGTATGTTGAAGCTGCCAGTAAGGTGCCTTGATAAGGACCACTGAGGAAACATCCATCCACATATAAAATAGGCCTAGCCCCAAGCAAGAATCCTTTAATGGAATAACCATATGCAATAAATAAACGTTCAAATCTATTGTTCTCAGAAGCCACCCATTTTGCTACAGTGTCAGCATCAGTCTCCATTAGTCTATTACACAACCAAGGAACAAGCATATATGATTGGTCAGGAAGCCCATTTATTTCCACCAATGCCCTCTCTTTCGCTCTTAAAGCTTGACGATAAGTTAGACTTATGCCATAGTCTCTATATATGTTAGCTTTGATTTCATTGGGTCTTTTTTCCACATTAGACCTTACTATGTCATCAATTATAGACGAAGTCAGTGTGCACCTTGTACTGTAAGAAACTTCAAGGTCTTCTTGGGCAGAATGTAAGTGCTCATTCTTGAAAGTTGTTACACGAAGTAAGGGCATAGACTTCCTTAATGAATATGCTGTTATCTTCCATTGACATCCTTTTGCCTTGCAAACTGAAATTATTTTATTTGTGTTGTTCTTCACAAATTTATATTCAAACTCGTGTGCAATACTATACTTGTAGATTGCTTGTCTACAATTATCAGCACTCGCAAAAATTTGCCCAAGTCCTACTAGCAAATCCTTCCACTTTATTGCATTTAGCTCAGGCATTGGTGTTGGGATACTTTGTATTGCACATGGTAGAACTTCAAGATCTTGTGTAGCATGTGAATTCTCAGCTGAACATCCTACTCTGCATTTTCATTTAAATCATGTTTATTACTACCATCCATATTTATATTAGCATAATATTAATTATGCAACTATTAAAAAAACTTACCCATCAGTTGAATCTCTTATTGCCTCTGTACTTTGCTGTATCTTCCCAATTATGTACACATGAGCAAAATTATCATTCAATTTCATTAATTGATTTATCCCTTCATCATCTTTAAGGTCTAAAAGAGCATTGCAATCAAATTTTACTTTGTACTTCAACTCTATTCCATTTAAATTACAATTTAAGCATGATGAAATCAATCTAACAAGTCCTTCAAGAGACATTCCTTCTCTAATCATTCTTCCATTACAGCTCCCCCCATCATAACGCATTGTCCCATGCATATCTTTTACAATATCTCCACCAAAATGAAAATAACAAAAAATTTCCTTTACACAACTACTTTCCATCGTACCCAATAATATCAACCTACAAGAAACAAAATAAAATGTAATAATATATCACTTAGAAACAAGTTACTTTTGACATAAGTGATTTTCGCATCAGTCAAATAGTGACAGTGTTCCATCTTAAAATATGGACACTCGATGATAATTTCTTACACTTTCAGTTGCAAAATGTCGAATCTTCATGCCAAATATTTTATAACGTCAAATAAAAAAATTTCTTTCATGTTCAGTTGCAGAAAACCGTTCCATCTTTTTCCTTACCAAAGCCATTTTGCAAGAAATTAGACCTTCATGGAGTAAACCTTTTTGTTCAGATGAAAGGATTTGCAAAAAAAAAAAAAAACCTGTCTACATGCACCAGCACAAAACCTTAAGCTTTCTTGAGTCAATAATTAAGACAACTCCACCTCTTCCAAGCATAACTCTGTTTCAGGAATGGGTACTCTTCAACATACAGCTCCACCTCTTACATGCACCTCTCATTAATGGCGGCAAAGAGACAAATCGGGAGGGAAATGTTGGAGATGATGAGTGTACATGTTATATTTACTCATAGGGGCATTTTCATCATTTCCTTTGTAATTCTGATTGGGGAAAAATAACATGGGACTTGATTGGCCTTTTAGAATTTGTTGGGACTTAACTGGTATAAAATTGGTCTTTTGGGACTTAATTGTCATTTTCCCGAAATAATTTCAAGTTGAGTAGGGTCTTTATTGATCTTTCATGTACGCTTTAGAGATAAAAAATAACCCTTTACCCATAATAGTATTAATAACATGAATTTGTTATAGAATAAATTATATATAGAAGATCCACATGTCTTAATTTAACTATAGATACATTTTGATATATTCATGAAATTCCAAAAATATATTTTTCTATTTATGCATGACACTTAATATGCATTTCCTATTTAATATTACTATTAATAATAATAATATTTTTAAAGCAAATGGTATTTATGGCACTTTATACAGAAATTGTTATGACTTGTAGCATGATTTATTTATGAATAAGGGAGATTGAAAGTTTCCGTGGAATTCATCGACATTTTATTCAGTTCAATGAACGAACGAAACTGATGGGCATTGAATTTAATTGATTGTAGATAAAACCTTATCAACAAATATAATATAAGGAGGCAAATTATTTAGTGTGTACTGGTGGATTTAATTAGAATTTGTTGTGTACAATGTAATTGGCATTTTCGATTTGAAAAAGATGTAATATAGAAGCACTTGCATGAACTGAATTGAAAAGTTGCTTACAACTTCTTCTATTTTTCATTTTTTTAATGAAAAATTTTCAACTAAAGTGTAGGTGAGTGAGAGTGAGGATATATCTCTAGCCTCAAAGAACACTTATAAAAATATTTACAAATAGCATACTAACAAGGTCCTCACATTTATAATAGAGTTTGATCTTACAAACTTGTAAGTTATATATTAAATCATCACCAATTTGACCAACGTTTATTGGTCCACTCCCACATGTTCTAAGAAATCTAACCTAATTATTTGTATAAATGGTAAGACTTATATATTTATTCTTACATATCTAATATATTTTATCTAATTAAATTAAGACAAGTAAATTTTACTATATTAATAATATTAATAACAAAAGTTTATTATGAAACAAATAATCTATAAAAAAAATTTACATGTTATTGCACTTCGATTGCGATCTCCATAAAAAGGGAAATCAATAAATGTAGGAGTCATAACCAAAATTTTAAAAGGATAATTGTGGAAACCTATTAAAAAATGGTCTACAACAACCAAAATAGGGTTTGGAAGTTGATTATATGTAGGGAAAATATTAGGCATCTCACATCACTTATCTATAAGAATGGTTACTCTAAGTTGACTAAACAAAATTAATATGACCTAAAATGAAATTTAATTATCCTTAACAAAACAAAAACAATAAAAAGAAAAGAAGAAGAAAATTAAATAAAAAATATTATTTATGTACAAGTTGAACTTGACCTAAAATAAGATCCTAAGACCTACGTACCTTTTGGAGGAATCAAAACTCATGTAGTTCAAGAGTAAAAATGTATGTCAATTTGTTAGCATTTTTTATGAAATAAATTTTTTATTTTTTTAAAAGTTTTTAATTGGATTTGTATCTTTTAATTTATAAAAAAGAATTATTCTCTTATATGAGAAATGGTTTTTTTTAAATTAGATTGAAATTCATGTGAAGATTCTAAAAATCTCACACATAAACTAATGTATTTTATATATGTGGAGCTTTCAAAACCTCATACGGCGTAGAAATTATTTTTCATTCTATTCATTTATAACAAAAAATATCTTCTTCTTCTTGTTGTTGTTTTTAAATGGATTTTAAACAAATCAAGTTAAGTACCATGATTATTATGCTTGAGGCAACCTACTGCCACACACTACATGCCAATTGATTAGTTACCTTTGGAGACTCTAAAAATCTCATATAGTATGACTAGAAAAAAACACATATACAAAAGTCTCAAATCAAATATTGGTGTAGTGTGTGTTAAAGGAGGGTACAATAGTATAAGTGGCTCTAAAAAAATGAAAAGAAAAGAAAGAAAACAAGGGATCAAACCTTTGGGACACCTTTTGTAACAATCTTGAGGAATATTTCAATCTTTATGCTATAGGCAACAGACAAAAGAAGTGAATGGTCAAAACATGTACTTTTGTGTGTGTGTGCATGTTAGAAAAAAAATATATATATATATTATTTTCTCTTCTTCTACCTACACGAATGAAAGGCCACACTTGGTATAGAGGAAAAAAATTGATTTAAATACTTATGGTTAAAGCTGATTGAGAGGTGGAAGGGGGAAAACAGAAAGGAAACGAGAGGGAAAAAATAAGAAGATAAAGGAAGCAAAATTAATGAAGGGAATATTGAAGTAAAACTAAAAGGAGAGAGGAATGAGAAGCACATACAAATATATACATATAGAGAAGGAGGCATGCACATACAAGACACACACATAAGTGATTGATACACATTGGTAAAATTAGATTTAGAGGTGGGGAAGGTGATAAAGAAGAAAAAAATAAAATAAAGAATGAGTGAGAAAAGAAAGGAACCAATAAGACGTATATATGGCATACAAGAATTTTCGAAGGAGGAAAATAGAAATCAAAAGGATAATTTAAATCATTATTAATCCTATACCCTTCAACCTTTAACACTTTTGAGGATCACATATGTCATCACAAGTACGAGAGGATTGGCTTTCCTTAGAGTATTATAGAATAATGAATAATTGATATTATCCTATTTAGGTCATCTCTAACCTCATATTATCATGAGTGAGGATGATGCAAGAAAAAATATTCCTTACCTTTTCAACAAACTCTATTCTTAAGATCTCTTCTCTCTCTCTCTCTCTCTCTCTCTCTCTCAATCCACCACATTCCTCTCCCTTTTATAGATGAAAATTAAGGCTTCCATTCTTAATGGTTGAATCCCAACAAATCATAATTTATGATTAATTTTATTTGATTTTTAATATTTCAAATCAAAGCACACATTTAGGGATTAGATTTCTATTTAAATTTTTCTAATTGAAGACTCATATTAAGGAATAAGTTTGGGAATTTTTGAATTAATTTTTATTTATTAATTTTCATTTTATTTTTTATTATTTTAGTAAGAAAATGTCTCAGATGTGCAAGATCCAAAGGTGCCATTGAAATAGCCTTAGGGTAATGACTCGATTATGGCATGAATGCTGAAAGTAATGCTAGACATTCAATGAAGTCTAGTTGACCATATACCCTGAATCGTAATAGGGATCACGAGGAGCCGAGGCCAGAGAAAGAGGCAAGGCCTGAGACTAAAGATAGGTTAGAATCTAAGCAGCAATTTGAGATATAGTTGAGTAGGCCAACAACCTGCTATGCTTTAAGGAGTAGGCTAGTGACCGATAGGGAAGATCAAGAGATTCTCATGGATTGAGTTTAGAGAACTTTTTCATGGTTGAATTTTCCAACCTTTAATGGTAACATGAGAGAGGGGATGCAGAGAACTGGGTTGAGAGGATGGAGACTATCTTCAAGGTTACTTCGTGTTCCTTTGAGCAGAAAGTAGTATTGGCTATAGTGCAATTAATAGAGGATGCCAAACATTGGTGGCATTCGATAAGACCCTCTGGTGGTAATTGACTCAATTGGGAGCAATTTAAAGAAAGGTTCTTTAATTATCATTTCCCTACGGCATTTCAAGATGAGAAGGAAGTAGAATTCTATGCTTTT